ACTGTCAATAACCCTTAAAAAAAAAAACAGAAATTATTTCAAGCAATATCTGTTAGTTTTTAACAATAAATTACAAGTAGTTGATGACATGGTATACAAACTTAATTTAAGCATAAAAATGAATATATATTAACTAAAAGTATATTAACAAACAAATTTGGAAAAGTAAAAAAATATTAATAAATTTAAACACTTTTAAGGGGGTAATAACGAACAATTTTTCATTCTATTAACACTACTAGAAAAAAAAGCCCTAATTTGGTCAAGAAAACTGGCCGAATAAGGTTATATTTTGACTGAAAAACAAGTAATTTGGTCAAGCTTCATGATCGAGTTGTTGGACCGAATATGTTTTGTATGAAATACAATTTTGGAGAAAATTTCATCTTGATTGAAAATCTGGTTCAGAAATCATTAAATAACTCTTATATTTGGTTTGATCGAAATATTTACATATTATTTAATCAACTATTTCGATTAAAACAATTGACTGAACTAAGCACAAATTACAATTTTTGTTTTCCTCATTTTGATGCAGATACATGACCAAATTAACAAAGAAGGGTATTTTTGGTAATTTGCACTCAATTTTTTCAGTTAGTCACCATGATCAAAATAAGGTAGATAGTAAATTCAACCCAGCAATATTTGGATCAAAATCACTAACCGAAATAATACAAGATGAATATTTTTGAAAATTTGCTACATATATTTTCAATTAAAAAATACAACCGAAATTAATGATTATAAGTTTCAATCAGATAATTTGAGCAAAATAATTGGAAATTGAATTTTCAAAAAATAAAAATGCATTTTATTTCAATCAGTAATTTTGATCAAAATAAACAAGCAGATTCCAAAAAAAATAAAATTATTTAATGAATTTTAATTTAGATGGTAAATATTATAATAAAATTTGGTATTAAAAATTTTAATTTTAGTATTATCAATTATATACAATTCTTATTTATTTAATTTATTAGTTTTTTATATATATAGTTTTTAATTATTATCATGCTTTTTTACTAATAATTATAATTAAATTTCTAAATATAAAAAAAAAAATTAAAAGAACCCAAAAATACCTTACATTTGCCAAAGGAATCCAACATAATTGCAAAAATAAGTCAAAATGATATATATAATCACAAATAAAAGCATGTTAATTAAAGCATGCAAATAAAATAACTAAATATATATAAAAAATTGAGGATAAAAATTGAATCATGTTAAAAAATTACCTCCAAAATGCTGTCCCATGTTCACCAAATTAAAGAACCTTAAAAATGAAAAATTAAATCATTAGTACATAATTAAAACAATCAAAAACAAAAGATTTATAGAAAATAAAGACAATTTTACATAATAAAGCAATTTAAAAAGTGAAAGCAAAATAAATGGTAAAGAAGGAATTAGTATTAGTTTTGGTATGTGAAGAATATGAATAAAACTTAAAAAGAAAGAAGAGTTGTGATGAACAATAAAAAGAAGAAGAAAGATGAATAGATGAAGAAGTAGTGAAGATTTAAAGAGACTTATTGAAAGTTAGAAGAATCAAAGGTAAAGCTAGAGAAGGAAGAAACAATGAAGCCATAAAAGGAAGAAAGAAATGAAAAAGAAGTCAGAGAAGTGATAAGAATAGTCTGGGTTGATGTATATATAGATTGAATATTATTTTAGACAATAATACTGACCGAAATAAAAAGGCAGAAAATTCAAACATTTTCGGCTAAAATTTTAAAAGGGAAGGTTGGGGTGCAAAATTAATTCGGTCATGAATTTTGAGCAAATTAAATGTAGTGAAAAATTCAAAAAATTTCACCAATTCAAAGGCAAACATCAACCTTATTTTGGTCAAGGTTCATGACCAAACTAATTTGTATAACTAGTTTAGTCAAACTGTTTGACCGAATTAAAATTAAGTTTTTTTTTTATTATTTTGAACAATTGTTCGGTCAAATATTTTGACTGAATTAGTAATGTTTTGGTCAAAATATTTGACTGAAGGGAAACAAGAAATTTTGGGCATATTTCGGTCAATAACAGTGATCGAAATATGTTGATATGCCAGTGCCAAATAGAAGGCTTCGTTCAATTAATTTACATATTACTGTATTTCCTACCTTTTACATTCCCCTTTTTGTTACTTTATCTGTTTCTAGTTTTTTGACAATATGTAAGTAATATAATAAAAATTCTACTAATTAAACTTTTTCTAAATATATATTAGAATGTACATTTAATGGAAAAATTAACCTACAAGCACATAAATATAAAACTAGATCGTATTAGGGTTGGAGCGAGGGATGCAGCGGTGAGGGCAGACGGCGGATCCAGACGGCAGCAAGGTTTCAAAGGGCAGTCAAATGGGTTTAACAATTAGTTTTCAAGACAAGCGAAGACATTCTTCTTCTACAATTTTCCAGAAAACCGTGAGGTAGCTGACTTATGGTATGATTTTGCAAAGTATGGGAAAGTGGTCGATGTCTATGTGCCGAGGAAGAGAGATAAGTGGGGCAAAAGGTTTGGTTTTGTTAGAATGGCAGAGGCGCAAAACCAGGTTCAGATGGAGAAGAGGCTGAATGAGATGTGGATCGATTATTATAAGATGAGAGTAAAAATTGCAAATAAGAGCCAGAATCAAGGAGTAAGAAATACAAAGATCTCGACAGTAGCAAATGTAAAGTGGACGCCGGTTAGAATGAACAGATTAGTTCAACCGGGACAATCATATGCGTAGGCTGTTGTGGGTGACAGCGGTGAAGGGGAACAGGTGGATGTAAGGCCAGCAAATGTGAAAGAGAGGGTCCGGGAAGCGATAGAACCAGTATCAGTTCAAGCATTACGACTCGTGGAGAAGGAAGAAGTGGGGTCGTGTGCAAAGGCGAGTGCAAAGGAGGGGAAGATGGGTGGGGTTGAGAAACAACATGAGAAGGTGATCATTGAAATCTCACCGACGGAGGAGGAGCTTCAGTGGCTGGAAGGAAGTATGGTGGCTTCGATGAAGTCGTTAGTGTGGATAACGAGTATACAAGATCGAATGGATGTAGATGGAGGGTTGATAACTTTATCACCATTAGGAGGACAATTAGTGCTGTTAATTGAGCGAGTGAGAGGTTATCTGATGGAGTATATGTTGCAAAACAAGGAGACTTTTGATTCTTGGTTTGAAAATATACAACCTTGGAAAGCAGCATCTGTGCAGAGATGTCGATTGGCCTGGTTACGAATTTCAGGGGTACCGTTGCAAGCCTAGAATGATCGATGTTTCGAAATGGTAGGAGGAACGGTGGGGGAAGTGATCCTGATTCATGATGATACCAAAAGGAAGGCTATTTTGTGTGATGGGAGGGTGCTGGTCCTCTGTTCTGCTGCATCTAAAGTCTCAAAATCCATTATGCTGAAGGTGGATGAGAAGCTGTATGAAATAGAAGTGGTGGAAGAGGAATGGCGATCGGATCCAGATTGGTGGCTGGCAGAAGAAGACCAACGGAGCTCGATGAGCACTGCATCGGAAACTCATTCAATGCAGAGCGAAGATGACGGGCACGAATTAACCACTAACGGGATTAGCAACAAGGATTATGACAGTATAGATGTGGAGTCGTTACACAAAGAAGGTTTTTTGAATTCAAGATTGCAAGAGATAACGGCATGCAACAACAATGCCAATTTTGATTTGCCGCTGGAATTTGGAGAAGTTAATGGGCATGATGAAGGCGAGGCGAATGACGAGGGGAATGGGTTGATAGGGAGTGATGTCCATAATGGGCTGGAGGAGAGTATTGGGTTTACTAAAGGCCCAACAAATGAGGTAATTAAAGACAAAGAGGAATAGCCCACGAGAGAGGATCTAGAGGATTCCAGCACAGCACATAAAGAAAAATCCAGAGACAGGATGGGTAAAAGAAGGAGAAAAATTGCAGATTGCTACCTGGAGGAGTTGACTGAAATTTGAAAAGAGAGGGCGGACTGGGTCACTACATGGACAAAGTAGAGGCAAGCACGAAGGGCAAAGAAGGTTCAATTGGTGACCGACGAAATGGTGAAGAGAGCTGGAAGTGTGTCTTTGTTAGATGGATGCATTGAGCACCGAAATCAGATAATAAAACGAGATCTAAACTTGCAGGAGGTGAGGAAGATGATGAATATAAGGAGAAGGTTGGGGATGCAATTTCAGGAAAATGAAGAAGAGATTGAATCTAGACTATGTGTGATGGAGGAACAGGATGAGAGGAAAGGGAAAAATCCGTGAGGTGTGGGCGGGTTTGGGCAGTGTGGATGTGGGTATTAATTTTTTTGATGAAGGTGTTGTCTTTTAATGTTAGGGGTTTAGGGAGTATGTTGAAGAGGAAGGAAGTGGCGAAATTAGTGCAAGTAGAAAGACCAAATTTCTTGTTTCTACAAGAGACCAAATTAGAAGAGATGGATGAGGGTCTTTGTGGAATGGTGTGGCATTCAAAGGGTTTTGAGTGGGTTGTGAAAAGGTCTATAGGGGCTTTAGGCGGTTTGCTCTGTGTGTGGGATAGGATGAATTTTAGTAAGCTGGGTCAATTTACAGGAGATGGTTATCTGGGAATAAAAGGGCTTTGGGGTCTGAAGAAGGAAATGTGTTATCTCGTGAATGTTTATGCTCCAACTAATAGAACGAAAAAAGCTAAGTTATGGGATGAGTTGAGGCAAATGATTATGGAGGAAGGAGGAAGATGGCTGATCGCAGGGGATTTTAATGCAGTACATAGTATTGAAGAAAGGAGGGGTAGAACAGGGGAGAGTCCAGATATGAAGGAATTTAATGATTTTATAGAGGCAGTGGGGTTGGTGGACCATAAATTGGCGAATCGAAGATTCAAATGTTATAGACCAGATGGCACATCTATGAGTTGTTTGGATAGGGTATTGATGACAAGTGAGATGACCAAATTGGGTGGAGAATGGGTGCAACAAGGTTTAAAGAGAACTATTTCAGATCATTGTGCGATCGTTATGAAAACCAGAGTATCGGATTGGGGTCCTAAACCCTTTAGGGTTCTTGATGTTTGGCAACAACATCCGAAGTTTAAGAGGGTGGTTGAGGAACAGTGGAATGCAATGGCAATGGATGGGTTTGCAGGCTATAGATGTAAAAAAAAATTGAAGATGTTGAAAGAATTCTTGCAAGAATGGAACAAAGGGGTGTTTGGGGATATAGAGGCTCAATTTGAAAGGGCAGCTGCCAAAGTTGCACATGTGCACATGAAGAATGAAGATTTTACATTGGATGAAGATGAGGTACATGAAAGACAGGAGGGCTTTCAGGAGATATGGGATAGTATGAGGAAGAGGGAAGCTTTATGGAGGCAGAAGTCAAGAAGTAACTGGGTAAAATTGGGGGATGCAAATACCAAATTTTTCCATAAAATTGCAAATGGACGAAAGGCTTGTAATGGCATTGTAGGGCTCTTATGTGATGGACAATGGGTGGAGGAGCCAAAGCTGGTAAAGAAGGCAGCTGTTGATTATGTTCAAAAGTTGTTTTCTAGAGGATCATGGAATCATCCAAAACCTTCTGGTATTATTTTCAAGCAAATTTCTGAGGAGATGAAGGTATGGCTAGAAAGACCATTTTCGATAGAAGAGATTGAAGATGGATTGAAGAGTTGTGAAGGGAATAAAGCACCAGGACCGGATGGATACAACTTTAATTTTATCAAATTTGCTTGGAACAGCTTGAAGGAGGATTTTGTGAGTTTTTTTGGGGAGTTTCATCAACATGGCAGGTTAGTAAAGGGTCTAAATTCCTCCTTTTTGACATTAATTCCTAAAAAGCTGAATTCTGTGGAATTAAAAGACTTTAGACCTATTAGCCTGATTGGGTGTATTTACAAATTATTAGCAAAGGTGTTAGCAAATAGGCTTAAGGAAGTAATGTCACAAATTATTAGTGATACTCAGTCTGCTTTTGTTGGGGGGCGTTAGTTGGTTGATGGGGTGCTAGTCTTGAACGAAGTTGTTGAGGAGGTCAAGAGACGAAAGCACCAAGCTTTTATTTTTAAGGCCGACTTTGAGAAGGCCTATGATTGTGTCAATTGGTCTTTTTTGGATTGGATGATGAACAGGTTTGGTTTTGGAGTGCGATGGAGAAGATGGATAAAGGAGTGTTTTTCAACAGCCATAATCTTAGTGTTAGTGAATGGAAGCCCAACCGAGGAGTTTACAATGGGAAAAGGGTTAAGGCAAGGGGATCCTTTATCCCCTTTTTTGTTTTTGATGATTACCGAGGGGTTACATGGTCTAGTCAAAAAAGCTGAGACAGAGGGTCTGATACATGGAATCGACGTGGGTAGCAAGGGATTGACTATTTCTTTACTCCAATTTGCGGATGATACGGTGTTCTTGGGAAAAGCAAATGGAGAGAATATTTTTACTGTGAAAACCATTTTACGATGGTTTGAGTTGATGTCTGGACTACGAATCAACTTTTGTAAAAGTAGTATTGTCGGATTTAATGTGGCACAGACATGGTTAAAAGGAGCAACAACTGTTTTGAGTGTGGTGTTGGGAAGCTACCTTTTGTGTATTTGGGAATGCCTGTGGGTGGAAACCCTGGGACTAAGAAGTTGTGGGACCCAGTGTTGAATAAATTTTGAACCAAGCTTGCCATCTGGAAATCTGCTTTGTTGTCCTTCGGTGGTTGCATTACTCTACTTAATTCGGTACTCTTTTCCTTACCTATTTTTTATATGTCTTTATTTTTAGCACATAATTGCATGGTGTCTGAGTTGATTAGAATACAGAGGGATTTTCTATGGGGCGGGGTTGAATTAAAGACGAAGATTCCTTGGGTTAGTTGGGAGATGGTGTGTCGTAGTAAGGAAAAGGGTGGGCTAGGAGTCATGGATTTGAGGAGGAGGAATTGGGCACTTTTACGGAAGTGGTGGTTTAGGTTGGGTGATGGTGGTGAGAGCCTATGGAAAAGGGTCGGAGGGAGGTGGACATCAGGGCAGTGGATAGTGTGAGGGTGTCTAGGATTTGGAGGGATGTTATTAGTGTCAGGGGAAAATCTATCCAATTACAAGACATGTTAGGGAAGGGGTTTAGGTGGTTGGTTGGTGACGGAAGGCGTGTAGGTTTTTGGCATGAGATTTGGGTGGGGGATAATTCTCTAAGGGATTTATGTCCTAGGTTATTTGAGCTAGCTATGAAAAAGGATGGTATGGTTTGTGAAATGGGGGTGTGGGAAAGGGGTTTATGGAGATGGAATATTGACTAGGGAAGAGGGAGGTTGGGTCGAGAAAAGGGTGAAGAGGTGGTGCTGTGGGAGGTGCTAAGCAGAGTACAAATCATGGAAGGCCGTGAAGATTGCTGGAAGTGGATGCATGATGCAGAAGGGAAATATGCAGTGAAGAAGGCTTATGAGTTTCTGTCACCAATGGAGTCCATTCTTCCTGATCAAATTTGTAAGTTGATTTGGTGTAAATTAGTACCCTTAAAAGTTAGTTTCTTTGGGTGGAGATTATGTTTGGATAGACTCCCAACAAAAAGAAATCTAGAAAAAAGAGGGATTAATTTGTCGGTAGAAGAGTTAAGGTGTGGTTTGTGCAATAAAGAGGAAGAGGAATGTAATCATTTATTTTGTTTATGTGATGAAGCCTGGTTAAATTGGGTTCAAGTGATTTCTTGGTGGTATGTAGGTTGTGATGCCCAATACAGTGGGAGGGGTGATGGAGTTTTTCTTGTATGAGTTGGGAGGTTTGGTAGGGAGGGAGCTAGGGGCCTGTCTTTTCCTTGTTGGGTCTTGGTATATTTGGTATTTGAGGAACATTAGAGTTTTCCAGAACAAAGGGGAGTGTAGGGACGATTTGCTTCATATGATTCAGTCCAAAACGTTTTTGTGGATCAAAAATAAGGTGGCTGGAAGTGTCTTCTCATTGTTTGATTGGCAATTTAATCCACTGGAATGTGCTGCTGCCATAAGGAAGCATAGAAGCCTGCTAAGGGAGTTCCGTAAGCGCAAAAATGGAGAGTATGCTGAGTTAGTGTGACTGGATTTTTTGGTTTAAATGTTTCTTGAGAATTTGTTTCTTAGTTAGACTATTTTAGTAGTTTGTATTAGGGTTAGAGTACCCCTTGTACTCTATCTAATCAAATCTCATTTACTTTGCTGATAAAAAAAATATATCATAATTAAAGTATCATGTTCTAAAATAGTAATTAAAATATTGTCTTACTCATACATATCCATGCATATATAATAGTAAAAGATGTTTGTGATACAAAGATCAACTTCAGACAAAGCCAATTATGCTCCCCAACTTGTCTCGGCCCCTCCTCCTCCCTGCATCACAAAAAACATCATTTCCATCCGATCAACCTTCTGTTGCAATGTTAGTTGATTCTCTTATAGTTCTATCACAATCTATTGCAATTGCAATACACACTAAGATGATTGAACAAAACTATCAGATATGGTATATGGAGGATGCTTACGATGTGACACTCCTTGATCCGCAAGGTCCATGTAAATGGGCATTCCATAAAGTCAACCATCCTTGGAAGGTCCACTTGAAACTTGGGACAAAAGTTGAGCATCAAGTACTATTGCTGCAGTTCTATCTTCCCTATATTTCTAAATGGCCTCTGCAATTAATCATTCCTGTAATAAATTGTATAATATACTTATTATACCATTTAACAAAGTATAAAAACATTATATACTCAATTATATTCTTGCAACCATGATACTCAATCTAATTATAAATAAAATTACTTAAATTTTCGCAATTCATTATAAATTTATGAAAATTTTGGAAGAGTTTCCCCTAAAAACCATATTTTCCCCTTGTAAATAAACTATAAAAATACATTCAACCATATGTATATTTTCAACTATGATATTCAATAAGATTAAAATGCAATCTAATGTTACTTAAATGAATACATATAAGAGAATTCAAATTGTCCTCAGTCAATTAATAAGGTATCATTAATCTTAATTGATTTTTTAATACAACTAAAAATGAAAGAAAAAGGGTAAGGTGACTTACAAACAATTAGGGTGGGGAACATATATATAAACAAATTTTAATTAATATTACACATTATTAAAGACATCCAAAATGCCTATAAAAATTTTGGGCATAAACCAACTACCATAATAAGTTGTAATTCTCTAATTAATCATCTTATCAAACAAAATTGCCAACAAGATTCCATAAAAAGCGAAAAACCATTCAGACAAAATACAAAATTAATAATTAATGGGGATCCACTTTCCAGACATGTAGTACCCACTAGCTTAGTATTTTTTTCTTCTTTATTTAATATATCTATACAATTTTTAATTCTCCTTCTTAATCTTGATTAGGGAGTCAATATAATTATAAATATCATAATAAAATCACTTAAATTTTCACATTTTATTATAAATTTATAAAAAATTTTGATAGAGTTTCTCCTAAAAACTATACTTTTCCCTTGTGAACAAGTATAAAACTACATTCAACCACATATATTTCCATTTATGATATTCAATAAAATTAAAATGCAATCTAATTTCACTTAATTTTAAATACTTCTTTTAATATGAATAAAAGTGAAAGAAAATATTACCTAAATGAACCTCTCAAGAAATAATAATGGTAAAGAAATAATACTTACAGTATACTCTTGAGCCTGTTCATCATTATATGTTGGCACTTCATCTTTGTCCTTTAGATGATGCATTTTTTTTTTTTTTTGCATGGATCACATTAACAAATGATGGATCCCTATGTTTAGGAATTTTTTTTTTTTTTTTTGCAATATCACATATTCAATTATTGTGTTAATTCACACAAACATTATAATTAACATTAACATTATTGTATAAATTATGATTTGAAATCTAAAACATAAAGGTAATTAACATTTTTACCAATTTTTGCACAAAATCATTGTAATCCATAGATCCACCTGTGTGGGTTACTTTGGGCCCTTGGCTTGATTTAGCTTTGCTGGCCCTATGCGCGCGTTAAACTGTAGGTCCTCTGTCCATATGTACTTAAGCTTCTCCCAAACCTCACCAAACATGTATGGCTCTTTTTTTGTGAAATTCTTCTTTCTACATGAGCCTGGATATCGGTCATCTTTTGGTTATATTGATTTTCACAAATGTGTAGAAATGCTATATGTACAATACTCTCCTCAGTAGGTCCCACTCGTATCTATTCTGAAAAAAAATATATAGGTATCATATATTCATAGATTCATTGAAGAATATAAGAAGCTGCACATATTTAATAAAAACATATCATTATAAATTATTTAATAAAACTGCAAACCCGAAAAGCTTGTCAATACACTTATACTCACGAGAAATTGAGCCACACCCTGTGTATGCATCACGCATATTCAATTTGAGGATGATTGAAATATCCTTTCGAGCTTTTTTTGGCAATGTCTTCCAATCCTAGTTCCCAATGCTCAACCTTTGGGAAGGATCCTCTGACAATTTTTGAGCTTTTGCAATACCTCGCCCCTTTTAGGTTAAGGAGTTAAGGGTGCACTAAAGTCATTGTCATTGCCATTACCATATGTCTCTCCTAGGGTCTCCTTGACAATGGTACTCAAAAACCCAATTGCTTGTGATTGACTTTTCCTTATAAGCCTTTGGGGAGCAACATTAACGTCTTTGTCACCCCTACAAGCTCCAAGTATGCAATTCACTGCACAGAAAAAAATTAAGAAATAATACTGTATTAGTATATGATTGAAAAAAATATTAAATTTAGGCTTAAAAAAATAAAAGCAAACATGAAATTTAAAGACAATATTTATACATATTAATAAACATCACATTAAGTTCTATTTTATGTCAAACTACTAATATATAAAATCACCCCATGTGTTATTAAATATCACATACATATATTACTAAATAATAATAAAATTATACATGTTATTAATTAATCACTACTATTACTCTCATAAATATATTCAATGTTTTCTTCCTCAAATGTATAATAATCTTCAAATTCTTCCTCCTCTTTATCTTCTTCCTCCTCCTTATCTTCTTCCTCAATTTCTCTATCATCATCCACATCCTCAAATTTTACATTAATGGTAGATACAATCCCATTAGTATGTTGAATAGGTTCATATAATATATGACATTTAACTGGGTCAGTTGGAGAGTTAGAGGGTTATCATCCTAAAAAATGGGTTTTGAATCATCATGTTGTTCCTCTTGCTCATGTAGCATCTCAATAATACTTCTTGCCCTACATTTCAATGCAGCAACCCATCCCTTCCTAATAGAATTATGGGATGGATATGGAATGTAATACACCTATTTAGCTTGACTTGCTAAGAGGAAAAGCTCATAAGTTCTCAATTTTCTATTTGGATTAATATCAATGAGACAATATTTTCAGTTAACCATAATTCCTCATGAAGGAGGAATTTCATACCAATCGCATTTAAATAAAACAACCATCTGTCGATGCCTAGAGCCAACATATTGAAACTCAATCACTTCCTACAACAACCCATAAAAATCCAAATCTGATTCTATTCCTATGATTCTTGTGACACACACCCCGCTATTCATTGTTTTCTTATTTTTTCCATAGGAAACAATGTGAAATCGAAAACTATTTACCCAAAAACCTTCATAGCATGAAACTATCCAAAGACCACAAGCCAAACCAATCAAATGCTCAACAACACCTTCAAACCCATTACCTAAAACTTATATCATATGAGTTATTTTATTAGTTATAGGTATACAAAAATTAATTAACCATAATTAAAATTTATGATTTAACTTATCGATTTTTCAAACCATGAAAAGATAATTGGAACGTTTTATCTATATTTGCTAAGGAGCCGTATTTTGATATTCTTGCTCTTCGAAAACCCTAATTAAGCATCCATTATAATTATGTGTAAATTAAAATAGTTCATTTAATTTCTCAAATTTCATTAAGGATAAGGATTAGGGAAATGTACTCACTCAATCCATGTTTCATTTATTCACAATTCATTAAAACATAATACATTACAACATTACGTTCCTCTATTGTCAACACTCGTTGTTGCTGTAGAGAACTAATTGGTTTTCAAGGATTATTGAGTATTGAAAGGCCAATATTAATAGAAGGGCCTAGGCCAATAAGATTTCTAGGAATGCGATCACCTCTTGTCTCAATTTCTCCTCAAAATAAAACAAGATAAAGTATGAAAGCTCACTCATTATGTAATTTTCGCATATTGATCCTTCTAGACGAGCTTTATTTTTCACCAAATCCTTCAATCCATACATTCACCTAATTCATGAAAAATAAATTTAAATAATTAATAAATTAAAAAGAAAATTATGTTTTATATTACATATATATAATATTAAAAAAATTAAGTATTCTAATAATACCTCTCAAATGGATACATCTAATGAAATTGCATTGGTCCCCCCAATTTGGCTTCATATGGAAGGTGGATTGTTAGATGCTCCATCAACTCAAGAAAAGAAGGAAAGAAGGTTCTTTCAAGTTGGCATATTGTTTCTACAATCTTAATATGCCAAATCTCCATATATATAACACGATTGGTTGGAGAACATAAGGCTCTGAAAAACTCAGTGATCTTGGTATGTGCTTCATAAACTTGTTTTGAGAGAAAATCATAGAATGCAATTGGACAGAGACTTTACATGAATATATGACAATTATCACTCTTCATCCTGCTAACTTTGGCCTCTTGCATATTCATACACCGAGAAATGTTGAATGCAAAACCATCAAGAAATCTAAGATTCTTTAGCTATTTGCACACCAATTTTCTCTACTGCTTATTTAAGACATAAGTGGCCTTCGATTTTTTACTCACATCAGAGTCTCTTTCTGGTATATAAAACTTGGCTTATTGCAATACATTTCCATATCCATCCTTGCTTTTAAGTTGTCCTTTGTCAATGGGTTATCCATGATGGTGTGAAAGATATTATCAAAAAAGTTTTTCTCACAGTGCATTACATCAAGGTTATAATGGATTAAGTTTGTGCCCCAATAAGAACGCTTCCAAAAGATACTCCTTTTAACCCAATTATGCTAATTACCAAATTCTTTGATCACCTGCCTTTGGGATGGCTTCTCAAATAATATATCAGGCAATTGTTGAATTTA